TTGCTAACGTGATCTACTACACAAAATATAACATTTATTGTGTTGAGAAAAATTTATAATTACGTTGGAGTGAGCTTTTTTTGGTCAAAGAATAAAGAAAATTACAAAAGCGCAACGATGATCGAATTTAAATCTTCTTGTTTCTGGCTATTTTAATCTTATTCCTCTTAACTATTAAGATAAACCTAGTGATCTCCATGTTGGAGCAATCATTTATGACATTGGAATAGTAATTTATATTTGATTTATTTTTTAATGTTACAAGCACATATGTTTAAATAAGTAATTGATAATTATTTAAAAAACATTCAATTGACCAAAATTACAATATTGATAAAAAAAATTTAATGAGAAGTTTGGTACACAATTTATTTTTACTTGTCTAGAAATTTAACGTAAAAAATGTAAATTTCCTGTGATTTGTTATTTAAAATATAAGATTTTTAAAAATATTATTTTTTGGATTTTTTTGTATAGGTTTCTATGAAAATATTTTCATGAGGAGGTGAGAAACTAATTTCTTTGAGGTAAAAATAAAATTTTAATGTAACAAAAATGTTATATTATATTTATTTGCTTATTTAATGCAGTAAAAAATCTTAATTTACATGTAACATTTATAAAAATTCTCAAAAATATTTATGATCAACAAAATAGATTTTCATAATGATTTTTAGGCTTAAAAAATTTGTTTTGTACAAAATATTTTTAAGTTTTTGACTTTTTTGCTTCTAATTTATAGTTTGTAAGTTTTTAGGTGATTTGTAAGATAGTTCTACCAAATACACTCATAAATTAAACAAGTCAAATAACTTAGTGATTTTGGTTGAAGTGAAGGAAAAAGAGTTTAAAAGTTTAAATCTCACTTTTAACAATTTTACTATTTTATAAATATTTAATTGTACTTTAAAACATAAAATGCGCAATTTTTTTAAAGTAAGAAGCAAAATTTTAGATAATCAATTGACATTATGATAAATTCATGAAATTATATACATTTTATGGTTAAAATGTATGCGACAAAAGTTTTAGGGACATTATATATAATACGCAAAATTTCAAAATTTGAAAGAAAAAAAAAATACAATTAGGTATCTTTATTTTAAGGACTAAATTGATTCATATAGTAAAATTTTAATCACTTAATTAATTGATAGTGAAAATTTCAATGATCATTTTGATATTTAATTTATGTCAAGGGTCAACTTGACTGCCCATTAAAATTTAAGAGCTAAATTAATTGATAATATATAATTTTAAATACTATTTTATCATTTTATTAATTTTAAAAATTAATTTAATCAATTATTATAATTATAAGAAACTAAATTGATAATTTGCTCCATAAGTAAAATAAGGAAGTCACCTTTACAATTACGAACCATTAGAATAGGGTTTCTTGGCATACTTATAAGTCATAAATGTGTTGTTTGTGTTTTTCCCTCTAGGGTTAAATTAACTCTTACATTTTTACCAATCATGTACTTATAGCCCGTTTGGTTGAGGCATAAACCTACTGCTTTGAATACTGTAATCTGAATGTCATTGTTAGAATTTATTCCAACCATCGCAAGTATGTTTTGTATAAAATTTTAATATTTTAAAAAGTATGACTTAAAGATTATATTCGTATTTACATTTTGTAAGAAATTCGACTTCTATTATCATTTATACAAAATCAATTATTCTCAATTCATTGTAAAATTTTATTTCTAAACACAAATAATCTTTTTAATTTAATTATTCCATAATAAATAACACCAGCTATTTATTTTTAAGTTCAATTTTTCCATAGCTAAGAATTTATTTTTTTCATTAACTCTATATATTAAGCATGAATGACTATCTTATATAAAAATATTTTTAGTTACTTTTTTTTACAATAGCATTTGTAACGACATGTTATTACCATTACATTTCGAAAGATCACTATTAGCACAAAAAATTAGTTTACTAGAGATATAAAAGTTTAACTGATGGATATATGTATATGGACATACATATAATATGAACATAAAGTGCAATACTAATATAAATCATATATATGAATATACAATAATCTCTAGAAAAATTGTATAACCTAGTGTCAGTCAAGCACATTTATACAAGTTACATCAAGTAGCACCAACATCAACAAAAGATCACACCACCTACTAACAATCACTCCTCTAGCTTAGTCCTAATCTGTTCTCATATAATATATGATCATCACATGCATATATACACCTCAGACAATGTGTCGTCATGCATTCACCTACGAAAATCTCCAAACCCAACAAAGTAGTTTAAGTGGCTCAACCCTACCAAATCAACCTGATCATCTCTAGACTAGATAGTCCCATCAACACGATCATCTCTATAATAGATAGACCTATCAACTAAATTGGATCACCAATCCCAACATGACTTCTCGAATTTCGCCACTTGCACTAGGAAAGTCCAGTTCCAAGTTAGGAGTGGTACAATTGGGTATAGGTGTAGCATGACCTTGGCATACATTGCCAAGTCACATGTGGAGTTAGCCCACATGCCATCCTTAAAGAATCACACAACCTTTCCAAGTACTTGGTTAAGGGTTGTAATCCTCGACTTCCTACCTTACTTAACCATTAACTAAAAACTTAGAAAAGACTTAACACACCTTAAAACTCACTCCAAGAGACACACCTACTCAAGGAGAATTTTCCAATTGTAACCTACTCGAGCTCCATTCCAAGATTCCTTATTGGAATCTTCAATTTTCAAAAAAAAAAAAAGTCTTCCCCTCAAATCCTAAGTTAACCAACATGTCGCAATGCCATATCACATTCTCAAAATCCACACTTCACTAATACTATTATCTATATACATCACATTCAGTATATATATAGAAAGAGAGAGAGGGAGAGATCAACAACATCATACATATATACATCATATATATGCTCATCAGCATCCAACACCATACAAACATCTACATATGTCATATCCAATCAATATACATAAAATTCATATATCTACTCATGTTCATCATACAACAATCCAAAAATATACCCTCCATCTAGGCATCCCATGCCCGGTACCATCTTAATCCAAGACGAGCTTCTCTCCTCATGTTGAATACCACCGATCCTATGTTTAGCGTAAATGAGCCAAAGACTGCTATTTGGAATTGCACTCAATGCCACGAAGGTGCACTTGGCATGACACTAGAAATCCAAATGCAAACGTTGCAAATCGCCCTAAATACCTAAAACTCAAGAAACCCAAAGCATGCAAAGCATCATATCATACATTTACAACACCCACAACTCAATTTTGGCATTAGAACTACATGCAACCACACATCAATTGAATTCTTCGACATCAACTTCAAATCATTGCCTCCCTGAATACACCCACCCTTAAAAAGGATCTAAAAGAAGAAAAGGAAGAAAAAAAGTTTTAAGAAGTCATACTCTATTTCTCTAAAATCTCTCTCTAAGGTCTAGAGAACAAAAGTTTATGAAACTCTATTCAAAAAAGAAACTTTATATATCTTTTTCTCTTAGGGTTACCTTTGACAAAAAAATTTCACAACTCACCCAACTCACCTAGATACAATGTTACAACATTTTTAGGGATTTTATTAACTCTCTATCTAATACAATTTTTTTATTTATCATATTTGTCAATTAATTAAATTTTAACATTTTAAAAATAAATTATCAATAATTAAAAAATCATAATATAAACTATTTATCTTAAATCAAAAAATAATTTGTTATGAAAATTTTAAATACAATTTATATATTTAAATATTATATTTATATATATATATATACATATATAAATATTTATTTATTATAAACTTTAATCTATATTATAATAAAGGAGATGCTCCCTTTAATTTTCACAATTTTTTTAAACATTTATACTACTTTATTATATATTATATAAAAGAAAATTCTATATTATATATGAAGGAATATTCTCTTTTAATTTTCATATTTTCTTGAACATTTATATCTCTTTATTATATTAATCTTTTTTCGTATCATCATATCTATGGATAAAATAGAAAAAATATATATATACAAAAAATTAATTATGTACTTATTAATAACAACTACCAACTTATTTTATAATTATTTTGATATTTATTTTTACTTAAAATTATTTTACTCTTTCTCTAATCATATATTATTACATATTATTTATATATTGTAATCTCTATTATTTTTTTAGTTATATATAATAAATATTTAACATTTAAAATATAAGAGTTAAAATAATAGTTTAAAACAAACGTATAAAATAAAAGAAAGCAAAAGTTTATATCGGTCAACAATTAGTTTTACATAATATATTTATATATTTATAGACGAATATGCGATGCTTTTTCCTTCTTCTTTTTTTATTTACATTTAATTATTCATTTAATTCTTATATCTATACTTAAAAACTTTACATTTAAATTATTATATAAACATTTTTTTTTATGTTTTTTTTCAGACTAATGTTTTTTTTCTTCTATTTTTTCATTGAAAACAATCACTCATAGATTTATACTACTCATTTTAACAACATTCTTCCCTCAAAATCTTCTAAAAAAAATTGTCCTCATTTTATAGCTGACTAATAAAAAAAAAAAGCACATAGAGTGAAGATATAAGAGTTAAAATGAAAAAGGAAAAAAAAACTCGTATAATGACTAAAATATAAGAATTACTTGAGACATAAGTAAAGACTAAATTCTTAATGAACTCTTTTTATTTGTTTTGTTGTTACGAGTTACACCAATGTTCATTCTTTTATAAAATATATGAACTTTTGTTTTTTTGAGTTGTTAATTAGTATCGTATTATAATAGTTGATGTAATTTTAATTTAGTTTTAATGTAATATACAGCATGGATTATTATTATTATGAAAAGATGAGTAGGTAAAAAAGTCTGGGTCAAATTATTTGGGCTTAAGCAACAAGGTGAGGCCCAATTCCGTTGGAGCCCAAACCCAATCCATTAAAAGAACAAAACCCTAGGTCAGAGACTCTCATGGTGCATTTGTTGTTGTGGTTGCAGAGAAGAGTCGAAGCGGCGAGAGCGAGAGCAGAAGCAGAAGCAGAATGGGTCGCGTGAGAACGAAGACTGTGAAGAAGTCATCACGGCAAGTGATAGAGCGCTACTACTCGCGCATGACACTGGATTTCCACACGAACAAGAAGCTTCTAGAAGAAGTGGCGATCATCCCGTCGAAGAGGCTCCGCAACAAGATCGCGGGGTTCTCGACCCACCTCATGAAGCGCATCCAGAAGGGTCCCGTTCGCGGCATCTCCCTCAAGCTCCAGGAGGAGGAGCGCGAGCGCCGCATGGACTTCGTTCCCGAGGTTTCCGCCATCAACACCGACCACATCGAGGTCGACAAGGAGACCCTCGACATGCTCCACTCCCTCGGAATCAACGACCTTTCCGGCATCACCCAGGTTGACCCTGTCCCTGTTCAGCAGACCTTCCCCTTCACCAGGAGGTACTGAACATCGCTTTATCGTTTCACCTTCTGTTTTCGCTTTTCCCTTTTCCCTTTCTTTTGCGACTTTCTTCTTTTCGTTTTATGTCGTCGATTTACTCTCTTTTTGTCCTTGTTTGAAATTTGAAACCGGACTCGGTATTTATTAGGGTTTTCAATTATATCATATCGTATACTCTTCGTATTTTGGTTTTTAATTGATTTGAGCAATGTGGTAATGGTAATGGGACTCGGAGCAATTTAGGGGTAATCATAAACCCTAATTTCGTTTATAGTGCTTTTTTATTTTATTTTTTACTATTCTCTGTGCCCAATGAGATGTGCTAAATGTTTTGTTATAGTGAGATTGAATCAAATGACTTGAGTGAATTGACGCCGCAATGTGGTAATGGTAATGGAATTTGGGGGTAATCGGAAACCCTAAAATAAAATTTGTGTTCTAGATTACTAATATAGGTGTTAACTCGATACTCATGGGATATTTTAATCATAAGTGGATGAATTATAATTCATGCGATTATGTTTTATGCATCATTGAAAGACTTGTGGGTGAAAATTGAACTGAATCAATTTTGTATTGAGCGGGTTCTGAACTGATGTATCTGTTTTTTTTTACTCCTTTTTGTAATGCCTAAGAGTCTGTATAAATAGATGCTCAATTTTGATGCTTTGATGGTTTAGCACTTTTGTTCCAAATTTACAGAAGAGGTCTTTAACTTGAAGTCTAATCAAAATTATATAGTGAATGCATAACCAAATTAACATAATACAAATCAAATAGTTCAAGATTGTTTTTTTTGTTTTTTCAATCGAGAGGTGGACAGGGAGAAGAAAATCACCTGTATATGTCAAAAGTTACATAGCTCTTGTTTCTGGATGTTAGTTAATACAATTGATTTTAGATCAACGTGATTTTATAGAATTAATTATATTTAAAATTAATTTTCAAGTAACATAATATGTTTTGATAATGGATATTAGGGAAGTTATATTTTAAGAAAATGTTTTATTTTGATGTATAATTATCAAATTTGGTTTTATGCCTAATTTAAATATTCTATTAATTTTGGATGAAGGAAAAACAATTCCATGTTTTTGTTCCACTGATTTTCTCTAATTGAAATTAAAATTGATTTTCTTTAGTTAACTAGATTTTGAGCAAATCATTTTAGACCCAACTTTCCATGATTTTGGATGGTTATACCACTATCACTAATGTCTTTAAGATTTTATTTTTAATCTGGGTTAATTTTGGACGTGTGAATCCAAAGTTTTGTGCATTGTAAACAAGTTTTGGGAGACAAGATAAAAATATAGTTGTTTTGATATGTCAAATTCAAGAATTAACTAAGAGTCAAGTTGCACAAATTCGAAACTGATACTTTTCTTGAGGTGTTTGGAAACCAATTTAACCTGAAGACTAGTTTTACACTTTACAATATGTGAATGTAAGCAATTTAATGTTAAATAAACGATAAACTTGTGAAGTTGGATGGAACGATTTTCGAACATACTAGTCATTTCTCTTTCATTTCTTGAGCAAATTGAACTCTTAATGTTTCAACAACTATTTCCGAACATAGATTAATTTTTCATAAGTTAAACTTTTCTTAAAATGTAAATGTTTTTTTTTCATTAGTTACTTTTTCACATTTTGTATTTGAATTTAACTCCCTAAAAATTCTATTTTGTGCCTGACTTTACTGAAAATGAAAACTAAGTCCGTCCCTAACAATTCACCTTAAATGTATTTTAGAATCAGGTTTCCAAGACATAAAATTTCCTAAAGTTTGTGATTTTTGATAATATTACAAATACACTCAAAATGTCTAAAATATTTATATTAGTGTTTTCTAAAATTTCCAATTTCACGTTTGGTTTAACTGCAACCTTTTCTGGGTGTTACATGTTTTTTTAGCCAGAAAATACTCCTTTAACCTTTTTGTTTGAATTTGAACCCGAATACCGAAACTTCTTCCTCTTATTTGAGTCTTTGGCAAATAAAACCAAAATTGAAATCTGGGCCTGTTTGCCAAAAAGACCATATTTGTTTACAAGTCTTAATATGAGGTCTCTGACCCTTTACAAATGAAACGATAAAATTGAAGCCTGCTGGCCCGCCCCAATTTGTACAGCTATCTAATGCTTGCCAAATGACCCAATTCCAAATTCACAATTGCCTTATCCATTAGATTGCAGCCGAGGCAAAATAAAGAGACTAATTACTAATTAGGTTTTGGTAAAAACAAGAAACAGAGTGTATTTTTCTCATTATAAAAGATTTCACCTCCCTCCGGAATAAATGATTTGTTGAAAAACATGACTAGTAAATTATTTATATAAATATTCATTTCATGGTAATATTTAAAATTTCAAATATTCTTCTTACTGAACACTCTTAATGTTCAATTTAAAATAAAAATGAAATAAAGAAGATTAAAAAAAGGAAAATTTAAGAATTGAAACTAAAGATAAATAAAGTATAAAAAAATTGTGTTATTTGAATTGATAGAAAAATGGTAAGTTTTACCACCCTGAACTTACCATGATTCCAGATGGTTTTACCACCAAACTAAACAAACATTAATTTTCCTTAACTTTTTTTTAAAAAAAATGTGGGATGATTTTGGGCCTTTTAAGCTAAAGTTTTTTTTTCAGTATAAACAAGTTTTGGGAAAAAAAGATAAAGATGCATGTGTATTGACATGTCAAATTCAAGAATCCACTAAACCAAGTAGCACAAACCCGAATCTGGTACTTTTCTGATAGTGTTTGGAAACCATTTAATTTGGACACTAGTTTTACACTTCTCAATATATGAATGCAATCAATGTAATGTTAAATTAACATTAATCGTTAGTGAAGTTGGATGGAACCAATTTCCAAACATACTAGTCATTTCTCTTACATTTCTTGAGCACATCAAACTCCCCTTAATGTTTCATCAACAAAGGGCATTGCACAACATCAATTCAAAGGAAAAATAACTATATAAAAGCATCTTAGACTAGTTCTATATAATCCCTACATCGGCATCTTAGTTCATAAAGAAGAATGTCTCACCTCTACATCAACAAGGATAAAAAAATTAACCCGGGACAATGTATCCATTATCGAGTTGGTCACTGTCATCAACTCTAGCTATAAGTTTTGGTATTCTACCCATTTTAAAAGATGGTAATATTAATTAATGTAATAGTTTTCTTTTATTTTTGTTATCTCAATTCAAAAAAATTCTAAATAGTAAAAAAAATCATCATCATACATGCAAATGCCATAATTTTATAAGAGAAGTATATAATTGAGAACTGATTTTGTACCAAGCAAAGGACAAAATGTTATGTTAATGTAGATATGAACTGCTATCATCATCCACAGCACTGATAGTTCCCTGTTTACACTATTTATTTACTGATGAAGAAAGCCATGCTAAGATTCCCTTAAAAACTGTATAACCTTTTCTTCTTTTAATTTGTTAAATTAGATAATAGTTACATTCTTTTCCTTGTTTCTAATATTGAGTATTAAGTTGAAACATTTGCAGAAAGATATAGTACATTACTAAGAAAAGTAAAAGAAGAATGTCTATATCTCCAAAACAAAAGACAAGGTTTCTATAATTGCTTGTCTATGGCAAAAGATTGTTTATTTGTTGTGATTTTTTTTCTTAAGAGGATCACACGCATTTGTTTCTCAGGTTGAAGATACACTTTGTCTCAGCTTTGGTTCCTAACACTACTGAAAATGGTGCCTGGTTTGCTGGTGCACTATCATTTAAAATAGGTAAAATCAATAATATAAAAGAGAGTAAAGAATTAATGAAGAAACCTATATAAATGAAAGGCAAAAACACTATAAACATCCATAAAGAATGAATGTAAAGGCCGCAAGTTAAAGATAAACAAAGAATGGAAAAATTTGATAAGTGATTGTTTGAACATTTTTTTTAAGATAAAAAATATTACAAGTAATAATGAGGATCAAATTTATGTCTCCATATTTCTATTACTCCCATCACTAAGTTAACTCTAATAATTCTGTTTCTCAAGTCTTTTTATTTTTGTTGTTGTTCTTCCGATTAAGTCAATCACATCAAAAATTGGAATTTCAATCCAGAATTCAACTTGGATCATTGATCAAAGTGGAATATAATCTTTAATTTTCATCAATGAGAGGTTCCAGGTGTACCCTTTTTTTCCTCTTCACACACATTCTTCTCACTTTTTCTTTATATTTTAAAGTTAAGTTTTCAAAATATTTTTATATTTTGGAAAGGAAACAAAGAAGTGTGAAGAGAAAAAAGAGGTGCAAATAGAATCCCTCTTAACCAATTAGCTTCCCACATACTGGGCCTGTTCAGTGCTCCAAACTCATAACTTATTTGAATCCAGATCCAGAATAACATATAATGTTATATCCTGGTCCAGTTTTTTTTTTCTTCCACGGTACATTTTTTTTGTATTTTTGTTTTTAATCTTCAACGGTTCAATTTACCACATATTTTAAATACTTAAATTATTATTCAAACATTGTAAAAAGATTTTTAAACATATATGTAACTAGTATTTAAGTTTGAACAACGTATAAGATGAATTTCTATTTTTCTTACAATAAATAAAAACTTTTAAATATATAAATTATATTATAAATAAAAATTGTAATAAATAAATATTTTTATCATCTCAAGCACTGTAAGAAAAAGAGCAAGTTTCATTACTATATTATTATTATTATTATTATTTGAATGAATTATATAAATTAAAGTGAAATAAAAACACAAGTATTAATTGTAATAACTTGTTTCACCAAGTGGTAGTTAGACTTTGATTCCTTTTATCATCAACATTTTGTTTCCAAATGTTTTGGTGCAGTTTGATCTTATTGGCTGCATGCCTTTTATAAATTTCTGAGCAAGAAATGTCTAAACTGTTTTGGAGCAAATATGGGTTAAAATTGTACAGAATGATCATTGTGCTTTTTTTTTTCCCTTATTTTGCACACGGTTTTGCATGTTGCAACTAGCAATCGAGTTAATTTTTACGGCTTAAACTGTTAAATATTACAGAAAAATAAATGTGCAAATAAGTGTATACCAACCAGACAATGGCCCAAGTCTTTAGTTTTAATTTTGTCTTCTTTTCAAGTTTGTTAGTTAAATTATTGTCAATCATTACTGAAAAATAATAATTAAAGGATCTATATTTTTAAAATGTAAAAAAAAAATTACATTTTGTCAATTTGAAATGTCAGAATGGGACATGTGAACTAAAAT